CGAAATTATACATAATAAACGAGGCTGAAATTTTAATGACTATTAGTCTAACTATTCATAAATCTATCACAAATAGTAAGAGGAGGTTAAGTGATTGAGCTCAGAGTTAGATAGTCTATTACCTGCAAAGATATTTCTCTTAATGAATCTAAAGTTAAGATAAAAGATCTTCAGTCTAAGATAAAAATATTGGAAATGAAACTATCTTCAACTCAGAATGAATTACAGCACTTTGGTCTATGAAAAAAATATTAGAAGGTAAGTTAGAATCAGCTCAAAAAGATGCATTCTCAACTCAGGAAGAAATAGTAAAGAAAAGAATCTGAGATCATTCTCTCAAGTCTGAATTAACAAATACAAAGAATGAATTATAAGTGAAGTCTGAATTAACAAATACAAAGAATGAATTATAAGTGAAAAGCCTTGACATTGACAAGGTCACTAACTGTACCCTAAACATTTAACTTGAATAGGAGGCAGCCACACTCCGTTGAGACTAGTTAAATCCCAAGTGTCGGTTACTTTCTGCTCTCCTGCAGTAGTCAGCATGACAATATACAATCACCTGAAATAATAATAAGTAATGGACCCCCTTTAATTTTAGTTTGTAGAAAACATTACATAATAATTTATTCCAAATTTTTTATATGTTGTTGAGTACTTTCTGGAAATTTATTACATGTTTAATATTGGTTGGCCAGCTGTTATTGGCGATACATGCTTCAATTCTTCTTGGCATGCTTTTAATTAAATCCATATATACAGAGTCCAGAATTTTGACCCACTCCTCCAGTAAAGCATTTTTCAAGTCTGTAATATTTTGGGGGCTTTTGAATGCTTTTGAAGCCGATGTTCCAATTCCAACCACAAATGTTTGATTGGATTCAAGTCAGGTGATTGACTTGGCCAATTGGGCAAAGTTTTAATCTTCTTTGCCACAAACCATTCTTTAACATCTTTGGCTGTATGGATTGGTGCATTGTCTTGTTGAAACAATAACCTTTCCCATTATGTTTTGTAGCAATAAAAGGCAATAACTGCTTTTCAAGTATTTGTATATAGGCTAATCTGTCCAATTTGCTTTCTACATACAAAAAATTTGGAATAAATTATTATGTATTGTATTCTACAAACTAAAATTAAAGGGGGTCTGTTACTTATTTCGGGTGAGTGTACATACATGAATTGGATGTTCCTGTCTAATTTTTTGATGACATTGACATCAACACAATTTCTGTCAAGATAATTTTTGTATTGTCACATCCTTTATACCTGGGTTTTTGAGACTCTCCTTCGTCAAATCCAATATTCCCCAATATGCAGGGCTAATGAATAGCATGTATAGAATATTAATAAGCAGGATGAAATTGTGTTTATAATGATGGTTCTAAACTTACGTCAAAGCCTTGCGAGTTTTTGGTATCCTTTTTTGATATTCGCTAAATGCCTCAATTGTATTTGTATCAAGGAACTCCTATTGATAATAGAATAATAAATTTGTTGAATACTTATTCATAAAATATTTATAACAAGATTTACCTCTGATGTTTTGTTATTAATGTTTACTGATGACAATCGAACTTCGTCCAATAGCGAATTCTCATCAACTTACTCGATAATTGACTCCTCATTTGACTCATTAAATAGAAGTCCAACATTTTCAAGAAATTCCTCGTCATCTTCATTTATTTTTTTGAACAGATCGTCCGACTGGCTGTCTTCTCTTATAGCGTGCTTGTTGCGATTCTTTTCATTTTGAGGTTGCACCGCTGATATTGTATCAGGAGAACTTTATATGAACGGAATTAAAGTTAGATATGGCTTTCAGAAAAAAACTCGCGTGGCCTTTAAAGAAATACCTTTTGCTTCCTAAATCTCCGATTTCACCAATAATATTTGTCTTAATTTTGTCTGAAAATTTAAGAAAACAAAATAGTAAGCAAATAATTGTAACATTTATAATAACATTATCTCAACTTCGAATCACCTTGGTTAGCAGTTCACTCAGTGTTAAACGAACTTTTGAATCCGCAATTTCTTTGCTCCGGTCCCAGATAATATCAATGATTTCTGCTGATTTCTTACACTGTAAAAAAGATAGTAAAAGCAGTAAGAACTTTAGGAAATCCACAGTATTATCTTTTGTGCATGTCTGCAAGCAGGATGTACACGCGAAAGAATCACATAGTGAGTGAAGCCATCGCACTTCTCTTCCCCATCAGGTTAGAAAGCACCCAACCTTCCTCGAAAGCACCGAGGGGCGTAGTACACCCGGTCAACATAAACACGCGAAAGAATCACGAAGAGTGAAGCCATCGCGTTTCTCTTCCCCATCAGGTTAGAAAGCACCCAACCTTCCTCGAAAGCACCGAGTGGCGTAGTTAAAAGCTGACAAACAGTCTTGCCTGACGTTCCTTCTTTCACAATAAACTAACCTTTAATAATTTATGTAACAGCAACGCTTTTTCTGCCACCCTTTGATCAGAATGGAACATCAAAATTTTGCAGGTCATGTGTCTGTTTTTGTATATTCTGGCCAACGAAAAACTTTGCAATAATTGAGTTCACATGCAAATTTCGCATTTTCCTATATGGTCAAAAATATCCTGATAAAGGCACCCTGCTCTAATAAGGAAATTGCTTAGGGGTAAATAATTTTCGATAGATAGATAAGTCGGCTGGGCTGGTAGACCGATTTATCGAGAACCACGTGACCAATATGTTAAATTTTTATTTATATAATAATATGATAATATAGGATAATGTAGAATAAATAGACAAAAAATGAATTATTCCAAATAAATATCCATGCTAGTTTGCGTTGAAGAAGTCATTCTCTTTTTATCAATTTCCATTTTAAGTCTCTGTCTACTTTTATATACTCAATATAATTAGCGAGTAATTAGTGGTGGTGAAAAATAAAAGTATAATTGTTTACAATACAGTACAAACAAGTACAAAATTTACCGGATGATCTATCGACTAAAATAGTAATGAGTTCCCTAATGCCACGTGAGGCCGACTTATCGAGTGTAATTTACATATAGCATTAAAGAACTTACAGGTTATCGCGACTTTACATATGTCGACCGACTTATCGAGGTTTTTTAAATACTGAAAAAAAGGGCTGAAAACGTTTGACCGACTTATCGAGTTTCCCTGTGTATCTAGTTAATAAACGAAAATGTGTATTATAATTGAAAACAATGAAGAAATTTTCCCGCAAATTTTATACAAATAAAACTGCATCATTAGAATTGATATATTTATTCTTGAATAATTTTGGCCAATATTGTTTGTCTGCACTGTTTCTAAACAGTTGCGTAATTGACCCTTTGGAATTATTAAAAAATATCCCTAAGTCAAAAAAATTATGCTTCAAATAAACTTATCAAAACAACAATTTTGATACAAATGAATTATTGACGTTGTAATAACTGAGAATGGAAATAACGATGAATATACTAACATAACTTCTACACTCTTCAATGCTCAATGCAATTACAATGGGAGGTGTCAGTGATTAGTATCAAGTTACCGACTTTAACGGTTGGCGATTGGTTAAAAGCAGATTGTTGAAAAGTCTATTGTTTTGACGGTTACTTTTTAATACAACGTAAGTAAAGTTGTGCAAATCTGTTTGACGTTCTTAACGTTCTGCTGATTACGTGCCAGATCCCTTCCTTCAAGCAACCTGACTTTCCTGTTTCAATCTGATCTCCTTCAGTCTTCTGTTAAAATAATGCCAACTCCGATTCTTACTTACCTCTTCCACGTTCCAGGACTACTTTTTTGACTTCTCACTGATCAAGAAACATAATTGTCTAGTTAAGGAGAATTTAAATGAGGGCGAATTTTCAACCCGTGTTTTCACTAGCCAGTATCTAGTCACTCCATTCTTTACAGTTTTATTTATTTGCATTCGTGTATATATAATAAAGATAGTCTCATTCATCGATGCGTAACAGAGTACCGCAGACCATAGTTATACCCGGGTACAAAAGTAGTTCGTAGTAACAATATTTATCAGACAATTTTGAATACTCATTGACCCAACTAACGTGACTAAGCATTATAGAACTTTTTTATAGTCCCCACCAACGGAAACCATATACTGTACAGCTAATAGTATGGGTGTAAATTAAGTAACGCCCTCAAATAGTACCCTTCGCCGTATACAGTACCCTGCGTACAAATCGATATTTGAGCTTGCTTTGATATATAGTCGACACCATCCAATATTAACCTTATGGTGTTGTTTTTCTTGCGACGCAAAAGATATATAAGTAGCTCTTCCTCCATTGTCAAATCTTCATGTTATGTGAACATCGAGCGTGAAAAGTTGTTATTCAAATAAAACGATAATACTATTGATCTGAGTAGTATTCTCTATCGTCGAAATAATTGATTATTAGACCGGACACTCCAAATAAACGGCTCACTCAAGCTGTAACGGAATATCATTGATTGATCAAGCTAGTAAGCTGTCCGCCGATCAATTACGTGAATAATGCATCACGGCTTTACACCATTGAATCTCTTTACAGATCATATTCGTAGTGTGGGAAAGGACCGAATATACTAGTGACTTTTCCCGGCTGGCTGTTAATATTGCAGGAATCAACACTTTGCAGTAATGGTAAAAGTTTTCTCTTTTGGAATATATCTATAATAAAACTTTTTAACCGGAGGTGTGTTTCAAAATGCGACTATTCTACTTTGGCACCTTGAGATAATTGTGAGAGTACTTAACAAAATTAGAATTAACTACAAAAGCAAGCATTTAATTTTCAGTTATTATAAAATTATTTAAGTAGCTATATATCAGAAACATCTTAAAATGCCTGTGTATCCAGTAATGTCAAGGGGCACGCACGTACCTTGAAACATAAAATTTAAGCGCGTTGCCATCGAATAACTATTCACATCTGATATATGAATGCTTATTATTATATACTACTATTATGAACGGTCCAAGTTTTGTTCTCAGCAAAGGTTGCCTTCCGCAAATATTGTCATCTATTCAACTGAATTTAATGGAAACAAGTGTCTAATATTCACATTTTCGAATAATAGCAGGTGGTATTTTGCAAATCATTCTGTGTTAGATCTGTTCGAACGAATTTGTGGCACTCGACCCTAATACGCAATTGCTAGTCATGTGATACAATTCACCCAACAAAGGCTTTGTATTACAATCATATACGGATGCGGTAAGATTGATCGACTTTCGCAAAAACGACGCTCCCATCATCTTACTTGACAAAACTCATTTGCCTTGTACCTTCCGCGCCTTCTCTGCTACGCTCGACTGTACGGTCTAGCAACACGCGATCTCTTACTTCGCTCGTTAGCCTACACTAAACGTTTGACGTCCACGCATACATCCCTTTGCAATGTCCCTAATAACCCGTAAAGACAGTAAGGGCGACACAGATTCGCCACGTTTCTCCCTAGCAGCACAACGAGAGACCAACTACCTTGTAGGAAGGTTTCTCGCTAGTAATCCTGCATTCCAAAAGGCATATGTTGCCTATCGCGAAGTGCTTGACAAGCAACCCGACCTACTTCCTACCCGAAGAGACTACACTGGTCAAGTTCACGGTCAAACGTACGATGAAGTGGTAAATGTTCTCATCTATACTTATAGATTGCATGAAAGAAGTGCCTGGTGCTACTGCCTACTTGTGCTGTACTTGCGTTGAAACACTCGAGAGTGCCTTATACTGCAAATAATATGTTTATTCCTTATGTTTCCACGATATAGACAATGCGCAATCCGCACCTCGCGAATGATCACTTGCTTACAGTACTCGATGACGTGCGAAAAGCTTCATTTGAACGCAGACTTGTCCGTTACTCGACTCTGCTGGCGACTACGAGTCCTGCGTTCGCTAAATTGTCGTCAGCGGGTTGGACAAAAACAATAACGAAAAGTCGGTGCTTATGTTTACAAATGACTAAATTATGTATTGAACCGTGTATTTTGACTAACTGTATTTGGTTATTTCATACAATATTTATAATAATTACAGAAAACTTTTTGGTTGCGCGGCAGTTGGGAATGACAATACCAAGTAATGCTACAGGATTTATATACGAAAATTTCGAAGAAGTGAGTCTTTGTAATCTTAATGAATCCCCGGCAATTACACAATATTTATAAAATTACGTTGTTATTGGCAGGTGCTAAGACTAAATGGACATCGAGCTCGAGCGTATTGTGTCATATTCGATAGGATAGGTAGACGCGTTATAACGGTATTTATGATGAATACGATACTGCGTGTTTATTTAGTCATCAACAATCTATCACGTTAATTCATACTCAATCTAATAGGGCAGTGACGACTGCCTCATAAAGATATGGTGTATAAGAACTGGCATTCTCATCGCAACATTACGAGGGCATTTGGGGGAAATAGTTGATATAGCAATAAATAAGAAGAGCACTGTATTAGCGAGTTCGTCGGACGACAAGACAATCTTCATTTGGGATTTAAAAACATACGCACCCATAAGACGCATTGTATTGGTAAGTCGTTTATATAGTGTCGCATGACTTATTTGAGTTTCGAGGTCTTTATTAGGCACACATGGGTGAACTACTCGTATGACTTATTTGATGTGGTTGACATTGACTTGTCGTAGAGCGATGCATGTACTTCGGTCCAGTTTTCACCATCACCGGTTGCTTCCCTTCGTGTTCTACTTGCTACGAATAATGATGGAAAAACCTATCTGTTTGGTTTCGATCGAGAAAATAAGAAATTCCAAGATTCACCACTCCCAGTTAAACCAATAAGTACTGTTGGTGTCAATAAGATTATATGTGCAGCATTTAATGCAACTGGGTCACAATTTGCAATTGGTGGATCGGATGGATTAGTCAGAGTGTTTACTTTTATGGGTGGAAGAACATTTGGGGTTGATACTGGTGAGAATGATGAAGAACTAGAAGAATTAATTTATTTGGAGGATGAAGCCCCGAGTGTAAGATATCGTGTTGGTGTTGAACACGGTAAGCTGCCACCATCTCCGCCCACTGATAATGATTCGTTTCCAACATATTACGATGCACGTACTCCAGTTCACATTGCTGACCTCGATGGTCACACTCAAAAAGTGGTTGATGTACAATATGCTCACATGGACAATCGTATTCTGTCGGCATCGCCGGATGGTAGTGCTATGATCTGGGAATATGACTTTAGCAGTAATCGGTGGATATCACTACGATTGAACGTAACAAAAGGAGATCCAAAGACACAAGCAACTGCTA